TGTTAGAAGCCAGAAGAAAGGCATAGTTTTTTTTCTTTTTTTTTGGCGGTAGGAATTCTGATTGCTCTTGATCATCTTCTAAATTTTCAGTTGGTAGAATAGGATGCAAAAAAATATTTAAGTATTTGCTACAAAAAACTTGTACCAGGGTTATAGAGGGTTTTAATCTCTTCTTCTAAACTTTCAACTCTTTCATTTAACAGCTTAATCTCTGACATCAGTTTTTTTTTGTAGCATTTGCTTTGGTAAGATATGTGTAACTTGGGGTCAACTTCAAAGATCATGAAAATGAAAATGGTTGCGAAAACGAGAAAGATTGTGAAAACAAGGAAGATTGTGAAGGTAAGAAAGATTGTAAGGACAAGGAAGATTGTGAAAGCGAGGAAGATTGTGAAGACAAGTAAGAATATGAAGGTGAGAAAGATTGTAAAAACAAGAAAGATTGTGAAAACAAAGGCTCAGGAATATTGGTATGTTCAGTTGCTATTGAATGATCTAGACAGTCAGGGCCAATTGCACTAGAATTGAATATCCAAATTTCTCTAGCCTTGAAGGCATTGCATATTGCAGTGGGCATATAGATTGTAATATAGGATATATTTAAAACTTCAGCAAATATGTACTTAGTTATAAGTTTACTACTATTATGTGAAGTCTTTTACGTTCTCTATTGTATGTTTTTTTTAGTGTAGAAATAGTAATTTGGCTGGTTGTAAAATATGAGTAGTATAAGGAAGAGACAATAAAGAAGAATATTGTTCTCATAACAGAAGTTGATGCTAGTATAATTGATATGACTTTTATGGCCGTCTAGAATTAGCAAAACAGGACATATAAGAAGAATAGAGCTAACGAAATGCTCAATATATTTTTGAAATAGGCTTTCTTGCATGTATCCTGTCTCAGTAAATCCTATGAAAGAATCAGCAGGTGTGCTATTTAGAAGACCTGAAATTATTTGTTTCTCTTTAATAATGAGTAATAGTGGGATATACGTTCTAGTAACTGAGATGGTTGGGCATACAGAAATATGTTTATAAGAGCTGCTATATGAAACCTGATGAACCTGGCATGCTTCCTTTTTTGCTACAACTTTTTGGAGCCTGGGTTCAATAATAAATCCCGTTTTATCCTAAAAAAAAAAAAAATTAAAAGAATAAAAGTAAAGCAATTAAATAAAATAATATAAAAAAAATAAAAAAAAAATAAAATAAAATAAAATAAAATAAAAAAA